GTCGAGTTTCGAACCACCCGTTTTGTATTCATTGGTATTTTATGTGAAAATACGTTATTCGCTGCTCTGTTGTGCCGCGTTTTAAGCCATCTGAGGCTAGCTATTTGAAAATATTGTCTTCATATGAAATGTAGTATGTTCATTTTTCTAAACCTGGGCTTTAGAATTTCTCGATTCCGAGTTATATCGAATAAGTTGTGATTTTTACAAAAATGTTGCGCGTCCAGTTTTCCTGTTACCCGGCAGCATGTCTATAACTAAAATATGGTCTGTTATCGTGTTGTAATGTGCTCGTATGAATTTACACTCTTCATGAATGTTATAGGTCTGTTTCTTATCTTTCAAATGAGATAAATTGCATGTCGATACATGCTCTGTAGCTCGAGTTGTGCTCAAATGAAGTTAGACATGCATGAGTTGGGACTTATTACTTTGGCAGACATCTGATATGGAATGTGAACTGATTTTACCCTATTAAAATGATCTTAAATGCTTCTGTGTTCTAAATAAAAGTTGTGGAGGCATGCTTAAGGTTTAATTTGAGACTTTAACCACGTCATTGGGAGGTCTGTAGCTCGGTCTAGGTTGTAAACACTAAAGTGCTGTTCATATCACATGTGAGTTTTTGACAGATTTGCTGAACCAAATGTTTTGTGTTTAAACTCATTGAAAACGTGTTCATTTGCCAAAGTGACCTTCAGTAAAGTTGTAGACATTTAAGTTATATATCATTTGGTTTTTGAATTTTATTGAAAACATGCTTGTAGCTCCAGTTAGAGAGTAATTACTGAGGGCTGGTCAAGTGCATTACCCCAGTTTTGGACTGTGACTCACTTTTGAATGTTTGTTGATTTATCACCTGCTAAATGGCCTTATTGGCTTTCGGTGTCTTCATAAGAATTGTATATTCAAGTCTTAGGATTCCAATGCAACTTGATCCATGATCACATGAGTTGTATGTTGAGAGTTATGTCGGTTTTAAAAACGCTACCCGGGTTAGGTTTTCGAAACGTAAGTGATATTTTCAGAATTTGGATTTCCTTGATTTAATGCATGCTTAAATGCTTACGTGAGCTTAATTGGACTAAGTGATTTGTCGAATAGTCATTGATAGGGATATTTTATTAAATGTAGGTGCTTGACGAGTCGAACTCGCCGCCTACACTCAATTTGTGATTTGTCTCGATTCCGACCAGGTGGGTTGTTATTCTAAAATTACCTGTGCAATGTGTGTTTAAATATGTTTTTCTGATCTAGCGTGATCTATGTATGAACGTGAATATGTAGCCTATCGATGTGAGCTATTATGATGGCCATCGGTACGGTTGTCCCCGTCGATGTAATACGGTTGCCCTTGCGAGGAAAGACTCCTTAAGACCTATTATGAAAGGCCGTGCCCTTGCGTGGCACGTACTCTCGCCGTTAGGGTAATGAATCCCCTTTCCGCGACTATTATGAAAGATGTGTACACAGGAGCATTTATGTTTATGTTGGAGATGTGACATATGTGATATTATTTATGTTCATGCTGCGACCATGCCTATTTAACATGTTACCAAATGTGCATTGCATAGTGTGAGTACGATGTTTAATTGTACTCACTCCCACCTGCTCGTAACTGATGCAGGTTAAGAAGTGGTGCGTGACGAGGAAAGGCGAGTGGTGGTCACACATATTTATTATGTTTATTTAATTGCTTCCGCTTTTCACGAACTTATGTTCGCATTGAACTTACGTTGGTTTGGAGTTGGAACTTGTTTATTTTTAAAACATTTGGATTTGGTTCATGTTGAAAAACCTTTCTTGATATATGATTGAGTTCATCCTGATGTTTATGTTTACGTTATGTGGTTAATGAAAACCGTTGGAAAAACCGGGTAATGAATCCCCGTAGTTCAGTTATGACTTGAACTTTGTTTTTGAAAAGAATGAGTAACGCCAAAAGTTTATGATTCGAAAAATAAGTTTCGAAAATTTTTACCTTGATTTTTTGAAAAGCCATGGATTTTCCTTAAAAATTGATTGGGGCGTTACAGTGAGTGGGGAGACAAGACTAGCACTACCTCATTATAATAAATGCTCCACTCACCATTTCTCATGCTAGTGTCTTTGACCTTGCTTGGACTTCCTTGACCACAAAATTAACTGAGTTTGACCCCTCTTAAACTCCATAATACTCACATGATCTTGGGCCATAGGACTTGGGCCGAAAAATTCATGTTTTGAGCTCGGAAACCACACGCGCGTGGGCTTGGCGCGGCCTAGCGCGAGACACTGCGGGGCGCGGCCCTTGGGCTGAAATGCCACTTTGGGCTGAGCATATAACACACTCCAAGGCACGACTATGAGTCAATAATACTTAGAAAAATTCATGACATCTTGGCCATGACTTAGGCTCGAATATGGACTCGCGCGGGGACTTGGCGCTCGACCCTTCTTGGGCTCGGTGCACATGGTCTCTTGGGCCGTGTTGCACATCCTTAGGCTAACTTAGGAGTTCCAAAATACTTAGAAAAATAATGCCATCATCTCTCGGCTATGACTTGGGCCTTGGCTCGGGAACCTTGGCTCACGCGAGGGCTTGGCACGACTCGGGTCTTAGGTGCACGAGCCGCTCGGGAATAGGTTAGGGTTCGAGAATTAAGTCTAGGCTTTGAACTTTGATACTACACCATACTTAGAAAAATATCCTAAGTATTGCTACTGTATAACACTTAGAAAAATTATTCTAAGTATCACATAACTATAAGTTTGGTTATAACTAAAACTCGGAAACTATGATTCATCACGGACAACTATTTCTCTTAAAATTCTCAGAACTTAATATGAACTTAATATATTTGAGCACTTAGCATATAATTTAAATAAATCTTTAATTCTAAAAATTACGATTTTTCACTTAAAGTCGAGCAGTGAAAATCGTCTTAATATTATAATAATGATCAGGGCGTTACATCGGTGGTGAGGCTTGATAAGAGTTCCCTCAGTTCCTTATGTATGGCCTTGTCGTTTGGGGTGATGACGCGCCCGCTCTTTGTTCGCATAAACAAAAACAAAAAAACGGTTACGAGCACCAACGGCAAACAAGGAGAACAAAACGAAAACAACTAGAAATCACGAAAAAAAAAAGAATAAAACAAAAAAAAACTAGACAAAACAAAAAGAAACACGAAAATAAGAAATCACAAGAAACAAAGAGAAACACGAAAAACAAAATGAATAGGCGCATAAAATAAGTCGTAAACCTTCCCCAGAAACGACGCCAAATTTGTTGTAGCAAATTATATTTTTACCATAGTTAAATCAAAAGATTCAATCCGGGTCGGTCTCTCGAGGAAGGCTAGCCGGAATATTGTGCGCGTGTATTCAAGCACAAAAAGAGAAAACGAACTCCTAAACACAGTAATTTAGAAGATGTAGTTTGAATATCAATTAGGAATCTTAGATAACATTAATTCAGAATTCAATGCAAAAACAAAGAATAAAAAATGATAATGAAGCCATGGAGTCGGGGATAATCGTTTTGGTTTGAAACACAATTAACGAGCAAGTGGTCATTCGATTAAAGGGCTCGAATGACCTACTCGTTCAGAGATTATTCCTCAGTAACTTTTCGTAAAAAGAGAATAAGCATGAAAGGAAAATTAACGAGTCGTTTAACACATAGGCAATACAATTACGAACAAACCTATTTTATACGAGCCTTGATCGATCAACTCCTTCCCTTTCAGTTCTAAAAGTTGATTAAATTAGACTAGAGGGTAGTTAATCAGCTAACCTAGTGACATTCAACATTCGAGGTTGATAATTCAAAACCCCTTTAAAAGCGACTCGCATAAATTTAATAATAAAAAAGCACGATAGTCACAATCAAATCCAAAACATTATCTTCTATCCCTTGCAAATCGAATTAGCCACTTATATTGAATTCAACAAAATCAATCACCACAACCTAAGCAATCATATTCGATAATTGAATGAAAAGGGTAACTTACAATTGATAAAGAAACCGAGATTTGAATCCGAAATACAAGCTAAATCCGAAAAATAGAGAACAAATCAAGACGGAACAAAAATGAGAATTCAAATGTTTCTGGAGAGGAAAAGATAAAAAACGAAGTCTGCAGACCTCCTCTAACCTTTGGCACGAGTTCCCATAAATAGCCCTCTCTAAATCAGTTCAAAAACCCAAAAATAAATTCTGGTCGCGACGACCCGTGGGCCACGAAGATGTCTGCGGGTCACGGAAAGCATGCGTCGCAGGTTGCTAATAGTTCGCTAGTCGCGGCCCTGGGCAGGCTTCAGCCGCAGTAATTTCCAGGGGTTTTCCGCGGGTCGCGAGTGGTCTGCTGGTCGCGGCCTGGGAAGGCTTCAACCCCAGTAATTTCCGCGAGTCGCGGGTGCTGGGCGACAGCTGCACGGCTGTGCACCACAGGCTCGTACGTTCTCGTCCGGACTCAGTATTGAGTTCCGGTTGTTCCTACTCGTTGCTAACCCTTTTACATAATTCAGCTCGCACGACTGTTTCTCCTTTGAAATAATATTCGCCCGAAGCTCCCAACCTGCACACCAAAAACGACACGAACACAAAGAAAATTGAGAAACACAAATGAAAACACAGAAAAACCTAAAATAAAGAAAAATACGCAACAAACCACAAAACGGACTAAAAACCAAAGAAAATACCTAAAACGGAGAAAAAAGAAAGAAAAAACAATAACAAAAAACGCAACAAAAATAGGAGAAACAGTGACGCTAGACACGATGCGAAGAGCTCGATGCGAGTGGTTGTCGTCCCGGCGTGAGGGCTAGGCATCCTTCAGCCTCTGTTGCTACATGAAAGGCCTCGCGGCGTGGTTCTCACACGATGGGCTGCTGCAGTTGCGCCGTGACGAACCCTCGCGACGCGAGGTCTAAGGCTTGTCCGTGCTCCTTGAGACGAGCTCGTGAGCACGATTGTACTCATTTCTTATTTAATAATAAAATTGTGATTGCAACCTTGCCTTTACAATTATATCAAATGTAAGAATTGTTCGATCCGTTCAATTTTTACAAAATCATTCTTATAGATAGGTATTGTATATAATTGTTAATAAAAGGTGAACGGGATTATAATTAACAATTAGACCTCAGTTAATGAAACAAATGGAGCTATTACCACTTTCATTCACCCCTCCTCACATAGCCGATGTAAACAAGAGTCATTCTATGTTACATAATCAAAACTTAGCGACGTGATAAAACTACACCTACACTTTGAAACCCTTCCCAATGAAGTAGGAATGAAGACATTAGCTTTCCCAAGATGGATCATTTTTTTATAATTTTCATGCATCTTCCCAATGCAATCCGCCACTTTGATTTCATCCAAACAATGAATGGCTCAGATTAGTATGTATACCGTCGTCCGAGTCCCTCTCAAAGCCAACCACCATCCAGAACATAATTGATCAGTTTGTGCCAACAGTGAAAAGAAATAGCATGACCACAATGCACAAGATTCATGGACAGGTGTCACAAACCAATCGGCCAGCCCAGGTGGTTGTGTGAGTAGTCAATCAGCAACGCCAACTTCTCATCTCAAAGCTAACTAATTATGACCAGCAAACAATCAGTAAGGAACGACATAAGGCAGAGCACAAATGTCTGCTGACTCAATATGTACAGCTTCTGACCACACATGCACGTTATCATCAAATTCAAATGAATCCAATTTGGGCTTTCTCGGAACTCTGTCACCAAACAACCAAAGCTGATCATCATTCTCGGACAAGTCTGACATATTCTTGGGTACTGTTAGTACCTCTGCAAGATATTTTGAATCAGGATGTGGAGACCTTGATGCTTCAGCTGTTACCACTGCAGAATTGGAATCAAATTGAGGCAACTTTGAGAACTCGACAATTTGCACAGTCGCAGCATGAGTATTTGGTATGGATGAAGATGGTTTCTGAGCTTCAAATGTGCCATTCGTCAGCCGCTCGTTATTGTCTACTTCAACATTGCTAGGAACAGCTTGCTTATCATTAGAGGATCTAACGAGTGTTCGGGGAGGTTCGAGTTGCCTTCCGTTTTCTGTCGACTGATGAGAAGAAGACCTTTGCATTTTAATAGGCCTGATTTCTCTCTCTGTTAACAAGCAAAACTGATCAGCTAACATAACAGTTTAATTTAAGTCAGAACACACATGTACAAATGCAGTCATCGACATCGACAGAAAATTCAAATTTCACAGATGTTTAAATAAAACACATCTGCTGAACGCATTTAAGATAAAGGCAGGATTTTTTCATTGTTTATTCAGTTTTATTCTTAAACAGTAAGTTTGTTGTTTAGGTAAAAACCATTATACAAAAGAACTCACCATGGAGAAAACCATTTGTACCCATATCTTTTCTTTTCTTTATATTTTCTTCGTCTACAGTGTTACTGTTGTAACCATTCAATACGCTGGTGCTTTTACGACCATCACATCCACCGAGATTATCCCGGCCCTCATCTTCCAACTTGCCCTGCCTGGACCCTTTCTTATTCTCATTTTTAATTTTTGCCTCGTCATACTTTTTCATTTCATTGTCTTGATCCTTCTCATGGATTTCCTTACCCGTATCGTTTGGGTTGTCCCCCGGCTTTCTGCCAGCTGTTTCCTTATATTTCTCTTTATCTTCCAACCTCCAGCCATTTTCTGCATTCATTGGTCTGGGGATCCCTTCTCCTTTACTCTTTGCAATTGGCATAACCTTCTGGACCATCATATTTCCACTGACCTCGTTTTTAAAGTTTCCGGGATCTCTCTTATTTTTGTTGGCATCCAGCATTGGCCAATCCTTTTTGTCTGTGAAAGAAAGTTTTTCAGGCAACTGGCTCCCTCTACTCTTCTCATCTCTTACCCTCCTATCCAGTTCCTGAACAAATTTTGACTCCTCATTTCCCAGGGAAGGTAAGCTGTTTTGAGAAGGCTTCCCACCATTTTGATCCTGCAATTGGGCAGGGCATTTACCTTCATTCCCAAAATTTCTGCTCTCTTTGCTGTACTCCACGGGATAAAACTTCTCTGCAGTATTTCCCTCATTCCTAGCAACTGTGGACTCTTCCGAGATGCTGCTTTTGTCCTTGTCTTTACCCTTATCCTTCTTCTCCCTGTGCTTTTCTTTTTTCTCTTTGGATTTATTTTTCCGGTCTTTCTTGTCCTTGTGTTTCGCCGAACTTCCTTCTCTCTCCTTTTCTTTCTCTTTTTTCCTTTCCTTGTCCTTTTTTTCCTTTTTGTGCTTTTTCTCCTTGCATTTCGCCTGAAAACATGATATATGTAATTATGTATTCTATCAAAGTCAACAAGATGAAATATGGAGCATGATACATGAATAAATAATCACAATGAAATGAAATTATGAAAATTAAAATGCGTTCAAGAGATAAATACCACTAAGTAATCCAATTTCTCAAACATTAAAATCCAAAATCAGGAAGGGNAAAAAAAAAAATCCAAGCTGCAAACTTGGTAAAAACAGGAGAAACAAAAACCCAGTGTTAAAACAAGATACCGTCACACAATGAGAAGACAACAATGGGACCCACAAAAAAAAACGTTTTTTCTTTGTTTCCTTCAGCAATGATAAAGATGCGAAAGCAAGTGCTAGGTTTGCTCAAACCATCACCTGGAACTATTATAGCATGTATGATCATCAAGCAGCATATGGATCAATGTATGATTTATGTGTCTTTTTGTTTCATTGAGTATGGTTACAACAAATTAGGATGGCTGTAATCAAGCATGCTCTATAGATAAATGTCATGAGTATATTAGAATCAGTCAACTCAGAAGTAGAAGACAGACACACAACTGTCCCACAAATGTTCATATGCATCATGCAATTAAGTAACGATCTATAGCTATACGATCTGACTGACTTTGGTGAGTCAATCCAAAAGTGACATCATTTATTATATGTGGATCATTAATATGATATTTCATTTCATTGTGGGACTTTAATAATTATCAAGGCTTTCAGAATAAATCTATGTTGGAAGCAAGTCACCAATGTTTTCCCCCACTTAAGAAAATGATGGAATAAAAAGTAACAGGGTAAGAAACTGAAACTGAACCAAGAAAACAACCTAGAACAAGAACTGACAGGAACGCAAAACAAGAATGTGTGACATTCTCCTCAAGAAGTCCTTCCAGCTTGGGCTTAAATCCAACTACTCAGAAATTCCAAAACGTGTTCTAAGGAAATAAGAGGCATATTTAAATAGTAAATAACCCTAATCCTAGCCCTGGCCCAGACTAGTTAGAAAATAAAACATAACAACCTCAACTGAAAACTAAATAAAATATGCGATAGATATACGGTAAAGAACCATAACAGTGATACCTAACAGGATAACATGCTCAAGCAAGTACTAACAGTTCCCAAGTACACAACCAAGATGAATAGTTTAAGATTTTAGTGCAAGGAATTTTACTATGACTCACTACGGGGATAAAATTCCCAATGTGATTAAATCTCAAGTACTCCTCCATCAAATATTCCTTTTTTCAGCAGAACACTACCTAATGTGTTCATAACTGTTTCAATTCTGGGTAGTTGGGTTCCTTTGGCATTGTCTTTTAAGGTATCTTCCTTTTATTTTAGGCTGGTGGTGAGAGTAGTAATCCAGCAGGAGAATCATTTAATGCAATATGAAAGTATAACTTAAAATGTGATTGGACTCCAGTAAATTCAGTTCACTTTAGATCAACTCATCAAGTTCTCCATGAGTCAGTATCCACCAAAATCAGTCTCACTTCTTGTCTTGATGAGTGAAGGGCAAAGCCAGTCGATTTTACATATATAAGCTTTATCGACATAAGACCTAAAAGTCTCAAGCAAATCCGATTACGTAATCATAACCTTTTAAATAAAAATGAAACTGCAATCACACACATCACAATCCCCCACCCCATGTCAGCCTCTACACAGACAAAAACACACACACACACATGAGAGGGAGAGAGAGAGAGAGAGAGAGAGAAACTCACACACAAGTCTTAATTCACAACAAGACTCACAACACGAGAAGGGATAAAGGGACTGATTCATTACAGAATTGGAAGATCATGCTCTACAAACCACATAACATAAACCCGCTGGAAAAGCATGTGAAGCTTAAATAGGTAAGCCTGAGTTAGACTATTACAGAGAACATTTACTTTTGCAGCTAATGCACTTTATTTGTTTATTATGTCCAGAGTAGCTTTAACAGAAAACAATCACACAATGACATTTATCATGATCGCTTTTTTTACTTCAAAAGTAACACAAAAAAATCATGAAAAAGAAACATGAACCCAATGCAGTCTAAAATACAAATTTATAAATATAGCAATAATCGTCTAGAGAAGATTCAGTATTTAGTTCATTCATCACCATGGTTTACACGGACTCCAGAACAAAAAAAAATATCTACTTCATTAACTCAACATTGTCTACTGAGTCATCTCTTTCACTAAACGGTCAAATTTAAATAAAAACAAACAGAAAGGAATGAAAAATGATGGAATTTTAAAACCAATGCACTGAAGGCCCAAACATTACAATCTAACAAAGAACTTCTAAACAGTCAATGAAACAGCATGAATAACATAATTAATCCATATCTTTTATAAGCAATAGGTAAATAAATATGCAATTCATTATTCAACTGTGTTTATACTTTGGTCGATTCTAAGAAATTACACAGCTCCTTTTTTTTAATTATGCCGAATTATGAAAAAAATGTCTAATCGTTATCCCGATGGATGCGCTCCAGCCAGCAGACACCATCAGTGTTTCTACCACAGTTAGTTACAGTAATATTAACATCAGCCTAATTAAAGGCAGCAAAACATCTATTACAGAATCTGTAAACTTATTTCAATCTGACTTGTTATATATGTTGTTTCAACTTCCTTTTTTATGTCTTATTAAAGTTTAGATCTAATAAATTTCATATTCAACAATTTTAAAAGCATTAAAGGAAGAAGGAAAAAATTGCTCAGCTCTTGCTCACCTCGAAGAGGTGGCATAAGCCATAAGGTTCTATTTACGCTTATCAGGATAGAGGAAGCATTTGAGGAAGGAAGAATTTAATTAGCTTTGAATACAATAAGACTCGAAGAGGTAGCACAATGATTAAGAATTGATGTACGTTTAACTAGTTTAGAGAAAGAGATTAAAGGAAGAAGCAAAAGTTTAATTAGCTCTTTATCTACTGAAGAGGTAATATGCATAAAGAAATGATACAAGGCTAAAAAGGAAGGAAATTAATGAAAAAGGAAACAATTTATTAAGCTCTTAATCAACTTAAACACATAGCACAAATCTTAGGCCCTGATTGTTTATAATATATTTGGTCTTAGATATATTTTTTAATTCAAAAATCTAACTCAAATTCAACTCAACTCAACCCTCATCAATATTATCAATATAATTAAATAATATCAATCATCATCCTCACACATCTCATCAACTTTAGTTCACTAATCATCTACTCACATCATTTTAACTGGGCATCTCTAATAATAAACTTCCACAAACCTCATTTTTCAATTCCCAATGTGCCACATCACCCAAAACATTATTCTTACTCCTACAACCAAAAACCCCAAATAATCATAAACCTCATTTTTAATGGGCCCGACATATTTCCCAATTACTCTACTTTAATATCATCTATATATTGAATAACAATTCACTGTAATACTATAGTTAATCAATATAAAACTATATTTATTCACTTTCAATGGGCCCCACATGAGGTTTGGTTGAGGTTTGAGAACACAAACCAGGTTCGCAAATACAAACCTTCAACCCCTTGCTTCTAATAGCAAACCTTACAGGTTTGTATTTTCAAACTTGTTCAAAACCTTCTATTAAAGATGCTCACTTCCAATCACATTTGTCCTACTTTAACATCAAATCAACTTTAATCATTATATTTTAAATATCATTTTAATACAAACTAAAAATCCCACCCATGGAGCTTCTCTTTTGGTGTCAACTTGGTTCACTCATCAAAAAGCGATGCAGAAGAAGTTTACAGTGCCACGTTGTAGAGGATGCAGCTGAATTTTTTGTTGATGCGGTGAATTTGATAAGACATCGACGAGCCTATTTATTACGTACTTTTGGCGGGCACTTCATCTCAATTAATTGCAACAACAATCCTTTTTGTCTTCTCCACCATTCAAATTTGTCGATATTGGGATGGGAGAACAGCAGGCTTCCTTCTTTCTCGCGGTGAAAATTTGGAATGTCTTTTGAAGTCAACAGCCTTGAGGACAAGGCTATTTAAAGGGTGCAGAATTCTTACAGACTATATGATCCAAAATAAATTAATGGGCTCTGGACCCATAGGATTAAGGTTGCCATTAATGTTTTATTTGCTCGGGTTAGTATTTAAGTGAGTCCTTTAGTCTATTCGTAGAATGGGTGGGATATTATTTCCAAACAAGAACATCGTGGTCTTATCTTTATTCTTTTGCATAATTTATATACATTAATCCTTCACTCTATCAAATGCACATAAAACGAAACTCAACACAATGTATTATGCAAAGAACAAAAACAATATGAAAAGAACAAAAAAAAAGCGCAAGTTTTGTGCATTTATAGAAAGCATTACGCAGCTGTTGCCTTCTGCAGGAGTATCATTCTAACAGCTCAGATCATAACCAACAATTGTGCAGTGAGCATCGTAATTACAAAAATGAAGAATCGATTAAGGAAACAAAAGTAATGGCAGACAATACATAAAAGAGGTTAACCCAAAGCAGCTACCATTAAAGTGACGTCAAACATGATCAGGCAAAGAACAACATGCACATAATTTTCCCATAATCGGAACTAAACCTCACTAAAATGAATTTGGATTCTGGCTCATGGCTCGTTTGGCAACTTTTTGAAAATTTCAAGATGAAAATCCAGCTACCGGTGCTCTCATTTAAACCACAATATTGGTATGACAGTTTTATTTCGTAAGATACTAAAATGTGGCATGTGAAACCAAAACTATGAACATATTTATCAGTACATAGAAGAAATGCCAGTTAAGTGATAAAATTATACTGTGTGCGTGAATCATTTATCCAGGTAGACAGTAGTAAATTAAAACCTAGAAGCTATCCAGTTAAGGTACATGATGCTTGGGATATTTATCATGAATCTAAGTAGAAAATAGAATACTTTAAATCACTAATTCTATGGATTCAAACATATTAGGAGGACTCACTAACATGAACTCAAGTGTATCAAACAATAAAATGGAAAGCACGACATAGGAACAAACCTCTTTCAGGAGGTCCAAGCCTTCAGATCTATGCTTTCTTTCATATCCAGGTGGCGGAAAAGGGAAGCAGCGAGACATTGCACACTTTCCCTCGTAAAAAAAAAGTTATTACAATCAAAAGAAGAATATTCTAAGATCAATTCCCCCAGATAGAAGTGTTCCAGTATTGGAACAGACCAGCGTTTATATATCAGTCCATGCACCATGACCCCACATTGATTTCAAAATTTAATCATCCATCTAGCTCCTCCTTCTACTGGTCCACAAACCCAAAATCATGCTATGGCCAATTCAAGTTTTACACCAAGGAAGATCAAAACCCAACTGTTTGTCCCCGACCTCGACTATCTTGCTGCACCCTTAACCACAAACACAAAAACAAATTCGAAGCCCAAATCAACTGAATGCAGGCAGAAAATGAGTAAGCTTGACCAAAAATTCTGATATAGGAGAGTGTAAATCCAATGTTCTTGAGAAAGTGGAACAGTTTGCTAATGGATGGTCTCCAGCATCCAAGTAAATGACAATTAATAATCAGCCCTCCAGTTTTGCACCAAAAGCTATAAGTCTGATATCGTTCCTTGACTCGTAAAAGAAATGCAAAAGACTATATTCATTTCATCAGAAATTCGAACATTCTGATTATTAAATGTATTTATTTGAACAGTCCTCTTCCATACCCTTTTGAACTGAATCACAATACTTACAGTTAAAGATGTTTCCTGAGCTTCTTAGGATCAAATAGAACTCCTATAAATTTCAAAATCAACAAAATTGACTTTTTTCCTTTTCCCAATCTGCAAAGTGGACTTCTTTTGAGAAAGGGCGACTGAAAATCAGAATTTGCAGATGAATTCCCCAATTTCAGATATTCGCTGATCAAAATCCTCACTCAAACTGTCAATCTGTCCCTCCAAAGCGGATCAGATTCAAAAACCTTGAATAAAATTCACCATCAGCAATCAATTTCAGAGGTGCCAAAAACCCAAATTACCAACCAAGAGAGAAAATAGCAAATTCCGATTCATCTTATCAATTTGAAATTGGTTCCATTAAGAAAGAAGGCCCAAAACCAGCACCTCTCATCAAAACGGCAAAGCCAAAGCCACACATAAATAAAATTTTCGAGTGAAGATTTGGATCGTACAAATTATTCCAATCCTCCGAACAACAGAAAATTCTTTGAATTTCCAAACCCGAACCCCAAACTTACTTCAATTGGAAATAGCCTAGTTATAACTCAATTCTCTCATCTATTTAAATCTTCAAGTCACATTTTTACCTTGCCTGCTACTAAATGAAAGAGTATTTGTAGGAAGGGACAAGATCCAGATTATTTTACTCTATCCCAGGAAAAACACTATCAACCCCCTTCCCTCGATCGATTCACTATTACAGACAAGAAGAGAGATGTGCGGTTAGGTTTATGCTGGTTCAGTGTGGTGCTTGCGAAAAAATGGAGAGATGAGGGTTTATTTTGGTGTTGGGAAATACAAGTTACAACTCGAAATGGGTACTGAAAATAGGAAACCCGAAAGCATGGTTCATTTGTAGTAGTGTTTCTAGAGAGAGAAAGTGAGAGTCGTGTATATGCATGAGTGAGAAATACCCAAGCACTTACCGTTGAACGAAGTGACCCTTTTTCTTCTCTCGGTATGGAAAGAGAAATAAATTAGGGTGTGAAAAAAATAAATTATTGTGTCAAAAATAAGATAACTACTTTTCTATTTCAATACTCACAAAATGTTATGCCATAACATCAGTGTTTTGTGACTCGGACCGGCCCGGCGGGTCGACCCGGGATCTGGTCGACTTGGAGCCAGAACCGGTTTAGTGGGGTATTTGGACCGGGCAACAAAGGACCCGGTCAAACTCGGTCAAAACCCGGTCGACTCGGCTTTGACCCGGCCGACTCGGGACATTGACCCGGGTTGACCCGGTCCATATATTTTTTTTTATTTTTTTTGTTTTTAAAAATAAAACTATGTATATATGTTTATATGGTAAATATTTATCATGAAAATACATATTATTAACACTTTAATCTACAAATTTTATACACAAAATATTTAATTTTGTTACTTTTATGTATATTTATAGGACAAAAATACTCTATATATAATTTTAAAAATTTTAAAATTAATTATCCGGTTCAGCAATTGACCCAGTAACCCGACGGTTGAACCGATGACCTGATGACCCGAGGACCTGCCCGGGTCGATTACCGGACCGGGTTTAAAAACTATGCATAACATTTCCAAATCAACTGCATAATTAATAGTTATGCGAGATTTTTGTCACATATATACCAACACATATTCATGACCACATAATTAACAATTATGTAAAACATTTTTTGCATATTTCGTAATCGCATAGGACTCGGCTATGTGCTTCTTCCTCTTCTCGGGAATATATTTTTTTCCTTATTGTTTATTAGATATATCATATTACATGTCTATTATTATAAAATAAATAACCTAATTAAAGCAAGCGACACTTTCGCGACTCACCTCTTCTAAAAAATTTTGCGGCGGATGGTGGATCCGTGCTACTTCATAGGGCACAAAGATCTTTGCTTACGACGGCACCTCGAGAATTTGCTACAAGTTAACCACATCGGCATTTTTCAGAATATTTACCTCCTCTTAGATTTCTAAATTGCTCGGTCTTTCTGGTTCTTCTATACGGGCCTTCTCCAAAAGCCCTCAAGTGTCGACCGGACCGATTCTTCCTCGATCCATGCTTGAATCTCTTGGATCTCACTTATAATATTAATTTTCTCACTTATTTGACTGGCTCGATTGTCCCTCAACGATGCTTCCACCGCTTCCATGTCAAAATCTCGGATGCTCTCCGACATATCAACCGACCACTAAAAGGGAAATAAATTATGCTCTCAGGAATTGTTTAAGATCTTATCTTGTATTTAAAACAACGGACAAAAACCATAAAATAAAAGAAAAAAGTGAAGAACGGCCCTATTTTTTGTCTAAAAAGGTAACCCTCAAATTTGGGCAACACGCATCAGTTATTAAAAGAATTTACACGACCACATGTCCAACGGTGCCACCTATCACGCTAAAAAGGCATGTTGTCCTCAAAGAGAACTTTTGTTTCCCCTGCAATCACGTCTTGAATATGTTCAATGCCGATCCAACGCAAACTATTTTTTTTCAAAAAAGTAACGAATAGCGCACGGAGCTTCCCAGGCCCCCTTTGAGATCTCGCAATGCCCTCGACAACCTGTAAAACTAAAGGACACCTGTTGTATATGTTGCATATGCATCCCGGAAAAGCCCACGTGACTGGAAGGAAAATACGACCCACAAAAAATAAAGCATTAAATGTCCAAAAAGAGCCCATGAGACAGGTGAACTCCACAAGATCGGCCCACAACAAAAACTTAAGACTGTCGACTGCCCGATCAGCAGAAATCATATTTTATCGATCATTCATTGTCGATCGCTTTGCAGTATGTGAACATTCTCTGACAAATCCAAACCCATAAATTTGGTGAAGATGGTGAAACCACCACACAAAAGGTTTTATCTTGCCTCCCAATCGGGCATATCCTGTAGGTTTGTAGAATGTACGCCCTGTCCTCAAAAGACGAATTTCTACATGGCACCACGTGTCATTCACCTAGAAACCAAGGTGGCAATCGACTATAATTACATCTTGCCTTTTTATGTATATAAATTAGGCACCAGCACCTCATATAGGATCATAAACAATAAACATTAGTCAGACATAGCGGTACAGTCACACAAGACTACGAAAAAACTCAAACAAAAAACACCCTTGTACAAAATACTTTCTGCTAGTTATACTTTTAAAGAAAATCATTCTCCTTGCGGATCCCACAACAGATCGTCGAAATCATGTGTGCTTCATTTTTCTCGTTCTTTCACCATAAAATAGTATTAATCGTGTCGGTCCTTTATAAGATCAAATTTTCTACCCCTCTTAATCCCGTAATTAAGTCGTTGGTGACCCCTCGTCAACAGTGTATATATACCGACCCCTCCGGTCCTAAAAAAAAAACAAGAACAAACAAGAAAAAAAAAACACACAACTACAAACACATAGAATTTCTTCCTCGTATGGCTATAATTCTTCCCTTTTCAGTTTTTCAATAAAAAATTCTGGAGAATCATTCTCCTTGTCGATCGACACAGCTGATCGGCAACATCAATGTCTTGTTCTCTTTCGTGCATTTTTATTTTACTAAATTTGTCTGTAGCTTCCTAAGATTCATTACGATTAAATACACTGTAACCCTCGATTAAACCACCTAATTTATATCTATAATAACCGTTGGCATTCAACAACACACATGCCCATTAATATCTTACGGGTTAAATGTAAGCAGTAATTACCAAGGTCTAATTTATTTACTTGGTCACTACAAAATAAACTTATCCTCTGTGGATCCGTTCAATACACTCATAGTGTACTAGTTTAATTGATCAGTCAAAACCAACCGATCCAAATTATACTACAATTGTTCGCGAGTTCAATTCTATCTAGGTTGTGAACCAATTGTTTATGTTTTACAACTAACCGATAATATGGTATTTTGCTCATCTGTGGTGAACCACAATTATCTTAATGTAAAACATCAGAACATAGAAGCGTTTAATTAAACATGATTCTCATTCGACCAAAATAGTGTTTATAAAAAAGTCAAGCTTTCAGTATATACACTAATAAGAGACGCTAAGGCTTGCGTTCGGACACTATGGACGATCGACGAGGTCGATGGGAGAAGGCGAATGGCGAGGATGATGAAGTGTGGTGCTAGGCTGGCGTGGGCGGTGATGGGCATGTGAGATTCTCGCAGGAGCCCATGCGCAATGTTAGTGTTATATACTAAAAGCATGGCTTAAGATGATATTACACTTTTTCCCTTTATGAATTAGAATCATGTTCGACTAAACAAGTTCTATGTTTTGTTGTTTTGCACTTAAATAGAATGGATCATCATCGGGTGAACAAAAGATCATTCTATTAGTTACTTGCGAAACAAGAATTGTGGTTCACAACCTAGATGGAAATAAACACCCCATCAGAACGGTTGTAGTGTCAACGGTACACTTGGTCTTGGCTGATTAATTGCACTAGTACATTTATGTATTGAACAGGATCCTAGAGAGGAGAAGTTCGTTTTACACTAATCATCGTAAGTGAACTCGGACTCGGTTAATTACTGCGTTCTCTTAACTCGTAAGATATTAAACAGACATATACATCTAGTATATATTACTTTAATTCACTTGGGTGAGGTTCAGTTCACTAGACTAATATTCCTACTGTCTTGGATAATATTACTGGATGTATGTTGTATTGTTAGGATATTTACGGTCACCATGTGCGTTAGTTTCATGATGTCCCATAAGTGAGTTAATGAAGATTGTTATGCTAAACTATGCAGGTGGATTAAATTCCGGCATAATAATAATGTGATGAACGAGCGCTAGTTTTGGTAATATATGATATTAATTAATTCTTGATTGTTAGTAATCGAATTAATTAATGGACATTATATCTTAAACATGGAGAAATAATTCGAGTAATTATTATTGGATTCTCATATGTAATTTGGGATAGGAAAACGTAGTGCAATAATATTATGTTAGTGGACAGTAATATTATTTAAGTAATTGGAGTAGTAGGTTTGGCTCACAGTTAGTCCATTACTTAAGAAGCCATATTCCTATTCTCCTAAGGATCCCTATTGTAGCTCTATATATACATCATTAAGCTCATCAGAAGAGAAGAGATCAGACAGAAACGTGATACACGCACGTCGTTCCCCTCTCTCTCTCTCTGGATCTCATCCAAAATTTACCTTCTTCTTGTTGTTCCACCGATATAAGTTGAAGAGGTGTACGACTAATACAGTAAAAGATCCCGAAAGTAATCGAAACATCGTGATCATCTACCGAAGCTGACGAACCATGACCCAAAGGCCGTGATCTGCTGACCCCAGACCGTCGCGACGAGCCCAACGCTGGACAACCAGCCGACGGCCGAACCCTGCATGACGATGACCGGCGACCACCGCAGCTCCACGACCTCGAACCCGCCATCCGTTCGTGATCTCGGCATTCCTTTGACGTGCTTCTCCTGATCATCCTGCATTCGGCAGATTCAGAAAATTTTAAGTCGTAAGTTTTCTACGTCAAACCTGTAGATCCGTTGTGCATAGGTTTATGTTTGCTATTGAATACATGACTTGTACATAATGAGATCCTCATAGATCCCAACATGTGGTATCAGAGCACTTGGTTAATTTGTTTTGTACAAAGTTCGAATTTTTACGGCAGTATTTGAAAAGATGTGTTCAAACGCAACCATATATATTCGATTATATTCGCATAACTCAGTTTTCCAAGAATTAGTTTAATCCACTATTATGGTTGTATATGTGTTTGGTGAATGTTATTGAATGTGATGAATGGCTTTAATTTGTTTTTAAAGCCTTGCACATGTCGGGGAATTTAATGGATGAATGTTTGTAATAATTACTTGTTTAGAAAACATGTACATCCATTCGTTGGATCTAGGATCGAATTGTGTAATTGTATATTATATTTTTCGTGTTGTGATCGTGTGTTGATGACCGGG